TATGACGACTTGTATGTGCTGGAGAACCCACAGTTCATGGCCTTCTATTCACCACGACAACAAAGCACCAGTGCTAAAGTGTGGCATCAGCGACTTGGGCATCCCAATAAGGAGATTCTTCAGCATCTTGCAAGTAGTAATCTACTAGTCATGAATAAGGCTAACTCTCGTTTGTGTGAGGCATGCCAGTTGGGAAAATTCACTAGACTTTCTTTTGTTCCTTCAGACTTTGTAGCTTCACGTCCCTTAGAACGTATTCACAGTGATTTATGGGGTCCTTCACCTGTAATTTCGAACCAGGGTTTTCAATATTATGCAATCTTTATTGACAACTTCTCTCGTTTTACATGGTTCTATCCTCTCAAAAGAAAGTCTGATTTCTACTCAGTGTTTATTACCTTCCAAACATTTGTTGAACGCCAACTGCAGCATAAGATTCAGATCTTTCAAAGCGATGGAGGGGGTGAGTTTACGAGCACTAAGTTTCTGACTCATCTTCAACAGTGTGGTATTAAACATCTTCTTTCTTGCCCACACACGCCTCAACAGAATGGCTTGGCAGAAAGAAAGCACATGCACATCACCGAGATGGGTCTGTCGATGTTATTTCAAAGTAAAGTTCCACAATACTTGTGGGTTGAGACTTTCTTTACTGCTTGTTTCCTTGGAAATCTCCTTCCCTCTTCAGTTCTCTCTGATAAGCTAAGTCCCTTTGAGAAGCTGTATGGTAAAACTCCAGTATATTCTTTACTCAGAGTCTTCGGATGCTCATGCTATCCGTATCTCAAGCCTTATGCAAAGCATAAGTTTGATCCCAAGTCCTTACATTGTGTCTTCATTGGTTATAATGAAAGGTATAAAGGATATCGATGTCTTTATCCACCCACAGGCAGAGTATTCATCAGTCACCATGTGCTCTTTGATGAGTCTGTCTTTCCATTTGAAACCAAGTATAGTGCCTTTCAGTCCATACCTTCGGTTGGTCTCTCTACATGGGGATTGGTTTCTGCATCTCCAGATTCTACAGTAAGTTCAGAGTTCTCTGCATCAGAGTCTCCTACGAGTGGTGTGTCTACTGTTCAAGATGTTCCCTTGCCAAGTGCTGATGCTCATGCTCTATCTCTTCTGATTATGACCTCTTCTAATGCAGGTGATAGTTCTGTGTGTACGGCGGGCTTAGACCCCGTTCATATTGGCAACAGCTATTCTTCCTGCATCAGGAGGGTCAGAATCCTCAACAAGTACACAAAGCTCACGGAGCTCTACATCAGCATCTCCTCTTTCACCACTGACTCTTGACTCACCAGCTGCAGATGTCTCGGATATGTTGACATAGAGTGTAAATGTTCCTTCTGTTGGGAATGCACATTCTATGGTTACAAGAGCAAAAGATGGGATTTTCAAACCAAACCCTCGATATGTTCTTTTCACTGTCAAGACAAACTATCCAGAGCCCAAGACAGTAAAATCAGCTCTTAAAGATCCTCTTTGGACAGCTGCTATGGGAGTTGAACATGGTACCTTACTGGAGACAAACACATGGGATCTTGTTCCTCCAGAGATCGCTGAAAACATCCTGGGCTGTAGATGGGTATACAAGACCAAATTTAAAGCAGATGGAAAGTCTTGACAAGTTAAAGGCTCGGTTAGTTGCCAAGGGGTATGATCAAGAAGAAGGAATTGATTTTTTAGAAACTTTCAGTCCAGTTGTTAGAACAGCTACGGTAAGGACAATTTTACATGTTGCTGTTACTCAAAAATGGTCTATAAGGCAACTTGATGTCCAAAATACGTTTCTACACAGTGATTTGAAAGAAGTAGTTTACATGAGACAGCCTCCTGGTTTTGAAGACCCTGATAAACCAGATCATGTCTGTAGACTCAAGAAGGTCATCTATGGGCTTAAACAAGCCCCTCGAGCTTGGTTTGATCGCTTTAGCACCTTCCTTATTGAGTTTGGCTTCGAATGCAGTATTCCTAATCCTTCACTATTCGTCTATATTAAGGGTTCAGATGTTATGTTGCTGTTGTTATATGTCGATGACATGGTTCTAACAGGTAGTAATGAAAAATTGTTGCAATGCTTTTTAGCTACATTGAACAAGGAGTTTCGAATGAAGGAAATGGGAGATCTACATTACTTTCTGGGGATACAAGCTCTCTTTCATGGAGATGGGTTGTTCCTGAGTCAGGAGAAATACACTCTTGATCTTCTTGTCACTGCAGGAATGTCAGACTGTGCACCAATGCCGACCCCATTGCCACTGCAACTTGATAAAGTGTCTGGACAAGATAAAGACTTCTCTGATCCCACTTATTTTTGGAGTCTGGCTGGCAAACTGGAGTACCTGACTCTTACACGTCCTGATATTCAGTTTGCCGTTAATCTTGTTTGTGAGCGAATGCACAAGCCAACCGAGGCTGATTTTAGCCTACTCAAACGCATACTGCGTTACTTAAAAGGAACCTTTCAAATGGGTATCAACTTAAGTTCAGATACAGACTCTACACTTCGTGCTTACAGTGATAGCGATTGGGCAAATTGCAAAGAAACAAGACGCTCTACAGGTGGTTTGTGTACTTTTATGGGATCAAATATTATCTCTTGGTCAGCTAAAAGACATCCTACAATCTCACGTTCAAGCACAGAGGCTGAATACAGAACAATGTCGATTGCTGCTACAGAGTTAAAGTGGCTGAGTTCTCTTCTTAATGCCATTGGCCATCCTCAACCGTCGTTGCCTGAGCTTTATTGTGATAATCTGTCTGCAGTCTACTTAACCGCAAATCCAGCTCTGCATTCACGCTCCAAGCACTTTGATGTTGATTTTCACTATGTTCGTGAACGTGTGGCGCATGGAGCTCTTGTTGTAAAGCATGTCCCAAGTCACCAACAATTTGCTGATGTCTTTACAAAATCCTTGGCTCAGCAACCATTCTACGACTTACGCTTCAAACTTGGTGTTGATCTCCCTCCAACCCCAAGTTTGAGGGGGTGTATAAGTCATTCAGAAAAACTTCTGGCTCCATTAGAGTCTTCGATGAGTGGGCTTAAGACTGAAGACGAGGCCCACGCACGGCCCACTCAAGCTTATCTTCTTCAAACAGAGTCATGCAACGGTAACAAAGAAGATAAAGAACAAGATGAGACAAAAGTAGTCAACAGTACGGAAATGGCAGCTAATACACTCCAACTGCAGAATCGGTTCACCTTGTTATCAGTGTGTGGATGATTGTAATGACCCTTGTGACCCTTGTCGTTTTTCTTTCTAGGTTTTGTGTGTATCCTCTATATAAGAGGTGTGTGAGACTCTGTAAAACCTAAGTTTTTAATGAAGCATAAAGTTTAAGTCTTTTTCGGTTTTTAAGCTTGTTCTCTACTTTCAGAGCCGCGCCTGAGATTTCTCTAATTACAAGCGAGAAAAAAATTGGCCTCTTAAAACTCTTCTTAATGCAGCTTAGCCCACAAATAATTGGCAAAAATAAGAAAAAATAACAGATATGCGCTTGGAAAGAATCGAATCCAGGTAAACCTCTAGCAAAACGTGATTTTACCTATTCACAAACCATTTCGATTAACTCAAACTCTAAAAAATTGGTCCCAAAAAATATTTAACTCTTCCGATCCTGAAACATATGCTTCATTAGCTTGTGCTCAGGCACGGCTCTGCCGGCTCTGCTTAGTGGATAGTAAACAAAGAAAGCAAGCAAGGTTTTTTGGTTAAAATTTATAGTGTTTGATATACTAATATAGCGTTATCGTGTGATAATTTTTCATAATATAATATCTATAAGAAATTAAAAATCTCGCTAGGTGTTAGTTGGACGTTAAAAAAAAATTAAACGATACTTTTAATACCGGTTTTTGACAGATTATATAAAAATCGCCTCAATACGGTCTGTTAACTGTTTAACAACGCCTATTTTTAGTCTAGAGATCTTTTATCAGTAAACATACAGATATGTGCGTGGTGGGTCTGGGTCATTAGCACCTATAAAAAGAAATAGAAAAAGAAGACGCACCAACCAATAATTTTGGTTTATTTGGCGTAATGGCTCTTCCCAACCAATTATTCGAATGAAACTAATCACTTTTTATTTTATCGTTCCTGATAATATTGTAGGGACTACGATGTTGACTTCTCTTTGCCATCTTAATTATGATAGTTTGATAGTGCCATATAATATTGTCATTATTGTGATCGGATACCGATAGTTTCACGCTCTACTTTCCATCAAAACTGATTATATTACGGAATTCAAATTAATCATACATAGGAGATGAAAATTACTACAGTTATATGTTGAGTTATAATATAAATTATAAGGTGTGCTTTGTTAAGAAATCAGTTACATATATTTTTACTGACATGTGTACACAAGACTGTCCTCAATTTCACAACTTAGCTAGATTCTTTAAACTGAAACTCCATTCGTTAGCCAGTATAGGTGTCTTCTTGTTTTTCTGGGGATCTACATTTTAAACTGAGTGGTGTGGACGTGTGGCATGTGTATTATATAGAAGTTAGCAATATATCAATATGTGATACAGAAATATTTTCCTAGTTCCTAGTTTTTATAGTGAGGTTTCTTAGATCAATTCTTGACTAATTGTAGAAAATCAATCACTACATTGTTTGCTTAATGTATATAGAATTTAAATTTAGACGTTTAGTAGTTTCTTTCAATTTCCAGATAAAGGTGGTGGAGTCTTATCGATTCTTGATGTCAATACTTTAGTAAACTTCCGGAAACCGGTCATTTCAATTATGACGTCATTCACTATACGTCTTCGTTTTAAACCAAACACACCAAAACCATTACACGATAATTGTACAAACTGATTCAAACAAAAAATTATGATAATGGTCGTCATTAAACTAGATATGTACAAATACAATGTATAGTCTATAACATAGAAGTCATGTAAACCGAATGTAACCAAATGGTGCCAATTTATGTAGGTAATTAAGTGAATTAATTAATCCCTAAAAAAATCTACGTTTCAACAAAACTTGTCAGGTGGACTTTTGGTAGGGACATTAGCCACGTGAATTCAACATTTTCTAAATTTCTACTCTTTTGTCTCTTCTCTTTTCATAACTCTCTTTCACACCATCCAAATTCTTCACACTCTTTTCTCTTTCTTTTCAAAACTCTCTTAAGAAGAAAACACTCACAAAAACCCACTTAACTCCATCACAAGATCATTCCAATGGAACCCGTCGCTTCCGGGTCACCAAAACCCGACCCAACTCCCTCATCACCATCCACGTCAGCACCACCACCACCAAGCCGTTACGAGTCGCAGAAACGCCGCGACTGGAACACGTTCTTACAATACCTAAGAAACCACAAACCGCCTCTAACGCTAGCGCGATGCAGCGGCGCGCACGTGCTCGAGTTCCTCAAGTACCTAGACCAATTCGGAAAAACCAAAGTCCACGTGTCAACATGTCCTTTCTTCGGCCACCCGGACCCACCATCTTCTTGCGCTTGTCCGCACGTACAAGCTTGGGGATCCCTCGACGCGTTGATCGGACGGCTTAGAGCCGCTTACGAAGAAAACGGTGGACGGCCGGATTCGAACCCGTTTGCTGCACGCGCCGTTAGGATTTACTTAAGGGAAGTCAAAGAGAGTCAAGCTAAGGCTCGTGGGATTCCTCACGAGAAAAAGAAACGGAAACGGAAACCTACCGTTACCACCGTTAGATTGGATGTTGACTTAGCGAGTGGAATCGCCGGAGAAGGAAGTAACGGTGTTTCTCCGTCTGCTTCCGGCGCTAAACTTCCTCTAGGTTAAATATAATTATCATACTTGATCTGCATCTCTCTCTCTCTCTATATATATAATATGTTATTTATAAATTCATATTTTCTTTTTACTAAGAAAAATTCATCGAGGTCAGTTATTTTCTTGGTTGATCGTGAAAAGACATTTGTACGGAGTTTCTAATTAAATAGTTCAGTGAATTTGTGGACTCTTCTAGTTTTTTTTATTAGTGGTTCATAGTAAATTGTTTCCTCTTTGATGAATTACGTTGATGTCTATTTTGGATCTATTTGATTATTATTTTGGTTGAAGAGCAGCTTTCATTCTTCACATAAAATTTTGATTTTCGTCTCACATGCTTTGTCTCTATCCGAAATCATTTCTTGTTATATCTTCTTAAATCGATTTCGTGACAAATTCCAATCCAATTATTCAAAGTAATTAATTACTATATGGGCGATGTCAATATGTCATCTTTTATATTTTCATTTATTCTTTTAAAAATTATATTTTCGAATGAGTTGTTCAAACTTAATTACGAGCACCATAATAATAACTTAATTAGCTCATAGTGCTTCCAAAGTGAATATATTCCAAATGCTTGAAATTATTCTCGTCTTCGTGGATTCCTTTATATTTTATTGAAATTATTCTCGTCTTCATGCAATATAACTGCCTTTTTATTGTTAGTATCACGGTGAATGGTGAGTTATCCAGTTACTTGGCAAGGTCATATGGCATTTGTCAAGGAATGTATGTTGTCACCATCTCTTTTTTGTATTATTGTGATTAATGTCTTCTCAAAACTTTTAATTTTCATATAACGCTATGTAATTTTAGAGGTTAATTTATGAGATTTTGGGCTTTAAACCTCACTTATTTATAATTCTTAGATGGTATCTTCATCTTTCTCAAGGGTAGAGCCTATATTTGTGCATGGGCTTTTTCGAATTCTCCAGATATTAAAGAGAGTCATGGGTTTACGTCTCAATCAGGCTAAAGGCATACGCTTTTTTAGGCGAACGCAATACATAACTCACATCCATTTAGTAATACATACTTTTCATATTTTAAGTTTCGTTTATATATAGTTTTTAAGTAATCAGAATATTCCATTTTGTCTACATATGTTATTAGACCGTAAATCAGGCGATAATTACATGCGACAGATCCATTAAACCGAACTAAAATAGAAACCTCCAACATAGCACTGTGAAAAATTGAAACAGCTGTTTTCGATCGATTGAATTAAGCAACAGCATTTTTATTCTTCTAATTTCTAAATATACTAGAAAGGCCATATACGTTTAATAGTTTTATCACACTAATTACATTCACGACTCGCATGTACGTATTATACATGGCTACAAGTGTCGGTTGCATCATGATCAAACCACTTTTCAAATGTTGATAACTTTTTAACCAATGAAAATAAAATATATAATTTTTGTGATGTAGTACAATTACTGTACAGAGATTTCAAAGGGAAAGCAAAAAATATCCCAGAGTTTCCACAGTGTTCATTGTTCAAGGTACGTTTGTGAATGCGTAAATACATACAGACACACGTGTACATAATTATAAATAGGGTTTGAAATATAGTAAAAAGTCAGAAAAAGAAGATGTTTGGCTACTATTTCCCGACCGACATGAGACCTCCTGTGATCTTAATACGTGCAAAAGGTCCCACACGTGTGTTTTCTTTTCGTGTCCTTTTTTCACCATGTACGTTTTCAAGTTTTTAACCTGTCAGGTGTTTTGCTTGCGTCAGTGATCTGTCTGAACAAATTGTGTATTTCTTTTTTTTTTACGAGAAGTGTGTGTTTCATTTATTAAAGTGAAATAAAGGATAAATCCACATAATTAAACCGGCTTGTTTATCACATAATTGGATTTTTGGAACTGTCTTTTGAATGATATTTTCTTTTTGAACATTGTCTTTTTTTTGAACATTGTCTTTTGAATGATATTGATTGGTTAGATCGTGAACGGTAAATTTTCATAAACTTTTCTTATGTAATCAAACTTCTATTATTTTAATTTGCTTCAAAGTGTAACGGTTAATTTGCTTAAAAGTGTAACGTTACGCTACAATAAAACATGCCGAAATCCGGTGTTAAAGGTAAATCAAAAGTTTTTTTAAGTTTACAAATCTTCTATTATTATTTTACAAGGACATATTAAAAAAAACCTTTGTATCATGTAAATTATGTCATGCTGAGGTGTCAAGTTCAAAGAGTTTTTCAGAGTTATATTAAAAATAATCTTTAATTACTAGAATAATTACAATTCTGTCGTTTTAGACCATAACAACCATTTACATTATCTTATTTTATATTTTAAAATATTATATTTACTACTATGTTTATATATTTGCATAATTCACAAATTTAATATATATGCATAATGTAAAGTATAATGATATTACAACTAAATTTTGAGGCATATTATCATTGTCATAGATGCATTTTTAATATATTATATATATATTTTAATAATGTAATTTATATGCTTTAAACAAATCATAAGAACATTTGTCAAAAAAAAAAAACCAAAGCTCAAGAACATATATTTGCAAATCGTAATTTTTGGTGTCTTGAGAAGTTTTTTTATGATTACATATATATATTTACTGCTTAGATTCTAATACTTCACGGATTTGTATATTATACTTTAAAATTTCAGGATTTGGGTTCTTAAAAGTAAAAGTTATGGTTTAGTTGTTTTATTTCTTTATCTTTTTTCATAACTATTATATAATTTATATTTATATATAATTATTTTTTTTAATATAAATTTTTCTGAAATAAATCTATAAAAAAAAGATAAATGTCACTTTACGCAAGGCGCGGGTTACTAACTAGTTTGTTTTAAAGTGTAAACTTCTTTTTTACGCAAAACGTTATTTGATGACCCTTTTTGATACCTTCACCCGCAAACAAAACTTTTAAAATTGACATAAAAATCATATATTCGCATATTTATGACACACTGCTAAATAAATAGTTTAGATTTTGATATGTGTAACTGAAATTAGATTTTAAAAGATAATCGTTACAATAGTGTCTTGTTCTATACTATTCATTTATCATGCTAAACGCTTTATGCTGACAATCCTTCCAAATTTAAGTTTACACATCAGGTTCATCATATCATCCTTCCAAATTAAAAATTTATATTATATTTCTTTTTTGTTTTATTAAGGTGTCTTCCTGGCTGAGCGAAGGCACCTATTTGTTTACGTTTTTTGGCTCTTCAGCGCCCAATTCGAAAAGTTGTTCGTCTTCTCTCCCCAATCAGTACATTCGTCTTCTTCACCGAGCGAGTTCATGGCTTTGAAACACTTTGAAAATTCAGGCAAAAAGAAAATGAAGAGTCTTGCATTTGTCTATAGTCTAAACAATGTTCTCTCATGGACGGTAACCACATCTTTTCTCATCGGTCTCTCAATTGTAGGTGCTCTCTTTCATGCTTGTCTCTTGGTTTTGTTGCTGGTGTGGTCCAAGTCCCTTATATATTAGCCAAAATCTCTCCTAACTACTGATATGAGATATTTCTTACACACCCTTTAGAAATTAAGGGTTTATGGCCCAATAAAATCTACCTAATCCCAATAGGAGTTGATAAATTTTTGGAGTGCCAACGTTTTTTATATAGATATCTTGGTTTAATAGTTTAGAAAATGTGAAAGTTGATCAAAATCTCATGTGCAAAGTGTAGTGCAGAAAGCTTAATTTTTTTGTTTCTAGCTTTTTAAATCTTAAAACTGGTTTTGTCCTTGAATAGACCAAGTGTATTTTGGAATTTAAACCTGAACATGTAAGCAAACATAATAGTTGTAAAACGAACAAAAGAAGTAAAGAAAACATTACATCTTCTACAGATGTGCCTGTCTGCAAATGAAGAACCCACTCATTCCATTTTTTTAGACGCATAATCGATTCACTCTTCCTTATATGTGATATGTGATTTAAATCTATTGTTTACTCATATATTTTGGACACTCAGTCAGACTGAGATTTTGGTATGATATTTCCCACAATGGCTTCGTTTTTTTAGATAAATGCAATATGTCATTCCTTTAATTTTTCTTTCCTTTGTGATACAACTATTGATAGATGATGTTGCAGCCAGATTCGTGTTTCTTTCAAGGTTTGATTTAGGAATCTGGAATCTTAGTTCCCTGATTGACTTTGCTCATTTGGCGCTGGCATCTTCGCTGAAACCTGGCCAAAACAACATCGGCCATGAAGAATATTTGGGGAAGTAGTTGTTTGAGAACACATCGATATCCTTCCGATACTTGTTCTTGAACTTGTCAAAAGAGTGGCAACAATGCCTTTTCGCTAAAGAGTAAACATCTTAACAATTTGGAAAATTTTGAATCCAAACAAAACAAGATGAATAGTCAGCTGGTAGAAGTTATCAAGAGAAATGTTTTAAAAGTTCAATTCATTTTTAGTTCCCTCAGTCCCGGGTAATTTCCCAAAGTTAGGGACAAATATCTCAATCATACTAATGTATATAGTAAATCTATATAAAATCTCAAGTAAATGGACAAATATCTTAATCTTATTATATGTATATAACTAATCTATATAAATTCTCAAGTAAATGGATTAAAAATTGTGTCTTCTAAACTTGGTTCATCATATTCACAACCAACTAACTAGTAGTTAAAGAAAGAAACGTTTTAAAAAAAAAATGTTTAATCAATAGTTTCATGGAGTAGATAGGTATAGCATTTGGAGCCTGACGCGACCAGGTTTAAAAGACCTTGAGAAACGCTGCGACGGATGCTTTGATGAGGTAGAAGACTTCGTTTAGAGAGAGTGATCTGATGATGGTTTATAATTCAACTATAATAGTCTCAATTGAGATCAAACAAATAAACTACAATATCAAATGAAGTTACCAACTTCAACGGTAATGATTTCTTCTTTTAACGTGTAACATCTCATCCTTTTTTTTTTTTTTTGATCAAATGCAGTTTCATTACCCAAACCGGTACTTAAAGTGTGTACAACTAACGAACCGTGCAGACGCGCAAATCGAGCTGTGTAATCAGCTCAAGTATTTATTGGCACGCCGAATCTCAAAGAAACATAAGCGCCTTAAGCTCTGCATGTAGTATTCATAGACTCAGATGCTAATTTCTCAGTCTGATTCGCTGAACAATCCCAGTCACCATCCTAGGCCTCCACTTGTATCTCCAAATAAACAAGATAGTCCATAAGACGGAGAATTCACATGATGATAGAAAATTAGAAAAGCAGTAGTAGCTTCCTCGAAGAACTCGGGTTTAGCAGAGCATCCGATTTCTCAGTGACTTGGTTTGTCAAATGATCTCTATATGGAGATCTCATGATTTATATAACTTTTGCAAAGAATGTTATAATATTGCCATATTGGTTCTACAGAACTTTGTAACAAACAAAGAAACATCAGATGGTTAATAGAAAGAAAAACCTAAGACCTGCTTTCTCATTGTACAATTCAAAACCCTCCAGCTGGCTCTATCACGGTACACTAGAATGTTGACTATTGTTCGGCGGATGCAGCAATGGAGTAGGCGACTGTTGAGGAAGACAGTCCAAAGCTCCATAAACCTGAAGCGTGTATTTCGGTGATGTTAAACAGCTAGCAGAACAGAAGTGTTTCACATAAAGAAAACAGAAAAAGGATAAAAAAAATCCATCTTAGGATATATTAATTCGCATGGATTTCAGTCCATTTTGAGTTTACAACAATTCTCACGCACCAACGGATGTAAAATTCCCCTAAGTAACATCTAACTAGTAAAGGAACACAATTTTGACACCAGGTTCCACACTTACTACACCTATGGGCACAACTTTCCCCTAATAACTAGCTTGTTCGGTGAGAGAGCTGATAGATCTAGAAGACATCCGTTAATCCATGTGTGGTATGTGAGACAATCACAACTTGGTAATGTCAATCATTACAAACAATTAGACCAATCTTTTCCTTCTCCATTAACTCTCCATAGAAATGCTACAATAGGAGAAATCTTAACAGATAATCACGTAAAGCTACAATTTTTATCTAGCATTATCTTTATGAGTACCTGGTGAGAACCATTAGCTTCAGGGTATTCGTGGCCTCGGCTTCCATTAACATCATCTGAGTTTCCATAGCTTGCAACCAATCCAGGGCCTTACAACAACAAATTCACAAAGCTATAAGAGATTTTTCCCGGAAAAGGTGTAAAAGCTACAAAAAAGATAGCGAGATTACTCGTGTTTTGAGCTGCCTCAGCAGCTGCAATTGCTGCCCTAGATTTGTTCTCCACGTTAACCAATTCTTCCCTAAGTTTCACAATTTCACGATTCAAATGATCGATGGTCTTTTCCATACCACGTTCATGGTGAAGATTGCTCGCTCGTGTCTTCTTCTCAAGCTCAAGAGCAGCCCTGTCTCAATTCCAAATCCAAGAATCTCATTATCAATCCAAAAGAGTCACTTCAAAACAAGAAGGGGAAATCGATTTTTCACCTTCCTTTGCTAACTTCTTCTCGCAGAGTCTCAATCTCCGCCTTAATCTCCGTGGCTCGAACCGAATTCGGCTTGGCCTTAGCTATCTCGCCGTCAAGCATCGCCAGCTCCGTCGTTAGCTTCTGCCTATCTTCAGCTAGCCTCTGTACATCAGACCTAACCTGATCAAGCTCAGCACCGATCCCATTCACCACACGAGCCTCCGCCTCCATCCTCAGCGAGTTCTGGTAAAGCTCCCGGACCTTGGCTTCTCTCTCCGCCTTAACTTTCGCGGCGGTTTCAAGCAGCTGTGCAAGCTCACGTTTGGCTAAATTGAGCTGATCCTTGACCCCGATGTGTGCCACAGCTAGCTTCTGGTTGTCCATCAGGAGGGATTCGATTTCACGGTGCTGGATTGCGATTCGATCCTCGAGGATGACAGATCGAGTACGGTTCCTCTCCGATTCGACGAGTTGAGATTCCGCTATTCTCAAAGAGGAAGACGATACTGCCGATGATGGCAGATAACGTTCTCTGCCGGCCATCTCAACGTCTAGTCTCCGATCTCCGATTTAATTTTCTTCTCCGGTTGCGAAGGTGCCTCCTCGCTAATCGTCTAAACCTCTTATTATGAGCAAGGCAATGCTAAAATAAGCTGTATAATCGAAACTTAAAATGCGCACTAAAAAAATAAGCACGTGTAGTCATGTTAAATATGCTCTATTGAGACTCGTTTTAGCTACACTTGATCCATACTAAGCCCAAACCTAGGCCCAAACCTAGGCCCATAGCTAGCTTGAAAGGAATCCTCTTTAACATATTCAGATAAAATCAACTTGTATTATTTATTCAAGTTCAGTACAATTTACATGGAAGTTGAATTTTCTGTGGAATTAATTCAAGTAAAATTTGTAGCTAGCGCTGATATCATGATTCAAGCAAAGCAAGCAGTAATGATCTGTTTGGAGTTTACATTTGAGTATAAATGGTTGGACACAATAGCAGAGCCACATTGTATAAGATGAAGTCATTCGTCCCCAATAATTTTAAAAAATTAAAGTAAGTTATTAAAATCTAATATTAATGTCTCCATTTCTAAAATCATATATACTTTTATTTGTCCACATTATATAAGATGAAGTCATTCGCTTCCAATAATTTATAAAAATTAGAGTAATTTATTAAAGCTTAATATCAATGTTCTCATTTTTAAAATAATATAGACTCTTATTTGTCCCTAATGAAAAAAATTTCTGGTTATGCCGTCTGCCATTGGTTGGAGAGATGTTGAAGACAATAACCTTGTCAAGAAAAATGTCTTTGTGTCGCATCTCTTCTTTTAAAAAATCCAGCATTTTTGGAATGGACCGTATGGTAATACTTATTAGATGGGGAAAAGGCGTAAATCCGCTTCTCATGGTTCGATTACCACTATAGACTAAACACAAGTCTCTTGAGCTAATTGGCTCTAGATTTCGGTACAAGTTTTTCACATGGTTTGTCTGTATCTAACAAGCTTGGAGACCCCAAAATTAATGAAACTCCGGTCCGGCTAAAGAGAAAAAACTTGTAGATGTCACCAGTCGAGTTACGGCTCCTTTTAGATCCATTCATATGTCTTGTATTTGTGTGCTATAGTGGTTGGGTGGGATTAACACTTGAGAGTTTTTTTTGGTATATCGTTTAAGAAACAGTGTTTATATATTCAAATATCATAACAGAATACTAAACAAAAGACCATGTAATAGAGAAGTATTTTGAGTTATACTTTACACTTTCTATAAGGGATATAGCAAAAGTTTTTTTTAATAAAAATTAGTAGTTAAGTATGATTATTGTCTTGGTTATTGGTACTAAATATATAAAACTATATTTAAATATACTAAAATCTAAAATATTGAATTAAGATTTATTATCTAATTATTGTTATTTTTGCTAACATTTTTTTCAAAACCAAACTGATCTCCAAACCGAACCTGAACCTCAATCCAAAATGAATTGATACAAAATTTGATTCTAAATCTGAATTTTATAAAATCTGATTTTTTTTAAAAAAAAAATATTCAAATTAATTTGAACCAAACTGAATAACCAAATGTTCACCTTATTTTATTTTTGGATGAAACGTTTATATTAAATTTGATATTAAAAGCTAGAGTAATAAAAAGTAGTACTAAAAATTCATAAGAATATGAGGCGGCAACTGCTAGAGTCCAAGTCTACGGATTACCACGAAGCTCTGATGTTTCAGATTGCTTCTTTTTGTTTCTTACAGAATCTCACAGTAACAGACTTTTATTAAATTCCTTATAAGGAGGTCTTTAATTTGGAAATCCGACAAAAACAGAAACTCATTTTCACTCACCCATTCAACTATCGTTTTTTCAGGTCTTTTTAATTAAAATTTTGTTTTCCACCTCTTCACAACAGAAGAGATTTCAATTTTACTGAACTCGTCAAACATTGCTTCTTGTCTCCCCATCGTTTCCAAAGATTTTTATTTTCTTTTGGTAAGAAAAGAAAAACAAAAAGAGCAAATACCGAGACCCGAATCTTCCATGTCATCTCTTAAAGCATTTAATGATGTGCATCGAGTCTCCCATGCTTATATTTCTCCGAGGTGCCCAAAGATGTCTGTTCTCTCTTCTTTCTTTTTCTTTCATTTTTATATTTAGAATTTTTTAATTTTATAGATTTGTTTAGTTCTTTCTTATGAATGAATCTAAATTACATACATTAACAAGAACCACTTCCCAATGTGACAGTTCTAATTCTAAAATATATCTTTCCATTAGCACCTAAACTATTTATTCCTCCTAGTGTGGTCCTATTAATTGAGTCCTTTTATTTTATAAATCACTTTTTAGTATGTAATAATGCAAAAAACACTCTTCCATTAGGGATTTAAGAAGTTCAAAAATATATTTTCATTCCGAATAGTTATAGTTATTGTGGGTTTTTTACAGTTAAAACATGTAAAAGTGTCTACCCAATTAGATTTAAGACTTTAGTTTTCCGTAAAACTTTATCTTTACTATTTCTAAGTAAAGATAATAAAGATCTCTCTCTTTTTTTCAACCCTTCAAATCTTACTGTAAAAACTAAGACTAAAAGTCAAAATCAAACACTAAAACAAAATTAATCCAATCTGAAGGAAATTGTGTTATTCAAGTAATCAACTCATTGAAAATTCATTCGAAAAGATCTGTTGATCGAAAGGAGTAGTAGAAAATGACTGAGGTTTTGTAGCCTAGGGGCTGATTGTGATTTGGTCACGTAATTAGTTTGAACCACTTCTAGACTAATTAAAATATGTTAGCAAATCTTTAGACGTTGATATCGATTTGCAGGGGCAAACAGACAATTCTGGATAAATCTGATGCATTATACATTAATTGTGGGTTCCTAACACATCCAAGTTGATAGATTTTCGTTATTAAAATCTACCCATTAATTAACATATACATAAAATATATGAAAAATCATGCTATCAAGCGACTTCTTTGTCGAGATTATTGTGGGCGATAGTCACAAACCGGTCAAATGTTTTTTTTTTTCATGCATGTCCCGCCATTTTGGGGTTAAAAACATTCCTTAGATGCACCACATGAATTTTGATATATTATTTAGAATCATAACCACTTTCTAACTCTATGGTTTCTAGGATTATGGAGTATGTTTTTCTTCGTAGATGATAATCATGATATTTTATTTTTAAACTAAAAGAAGTTTTATAATTTGAATTAAGATTATCCAGTATAAGGGATCAGTTGGACGTATATATTTTAGCCATTGCGGATTTTATATAAGTAACAGTTGCAATATTTTAAAATTAGTATGGGCTGAGCATATTTAAATTCTTCTTAAGAAAAAAATGAAGAAGCTATATATTCATTAGTGAGATCAATTAGATATACTCCAATTATCATAAGAACTGAAATTAAATGAGGGAGAGGAAGGAGCCAAAGGAAAGCTATGAGAGTAAATTAAAAGAGAAGTGTTTCACTTGGGAAGCAGTGGATTAAAAGCTTGGACTCATGTGATATTCATTTAATGTGATAGTTGAAAACTTCTCTTGAGGCTTTGATAAAAAAAAAAAACCATTTATTATAAGAATCTCAACAGACATTAATTAGGGTTTTCTTTTAAAAACCCCTAATTAGCTTTGTGTCGGATCTCGTTTTGTGGGTCTTGCATTAACTTCCTCTGGATTTATGTTGTTATTTTAATTATATTCACATTATGTATTCCTTAGTTAATTTATCCCTCTCGAGATCAATAGTTCGAAAGTGATGCATGTATCTTCGATTTCCTCATTACGTATGTATGATATATTATATATATGAGTAATATTGTAATAACATGTATAAAAATATATACGAAACAATTACCATCAAACGATATATAGTATTAATGTCTATATTATACGCTAATCTAAGCTGATACATCATACATGCATCACATTAATACTATATATTGTTTGATGGCTACATTGTTTTCGTATATCTTTTAATACGTCTGATATGTTTAAAATGATGCTAATTAAAGAGAATTTTTAACAGAACTAAAATTGTAAAAATGTATCAAAAGACGCATTTCTTATGTCACTTGACCTATCTTAATTTTTTGGGTACGTAGGTAGAAAAGTCATATGGTCTTGGGTAGAAAACCGAAGAAAAAGTGCACAAATACTTGTTCTTCTTGGATTCAAAAAGGTTAGGTCTTTGAATACTGTGTAAAGAAACTACATCTACAACTTTTGGAAGTTAATTAGGTTATTAATTAGGTGTTCAAAACGATGATCAATGTCTGTCTTGTTGCGGAATTTTTTATGGATTAAATATTAATTAGTCCCCCATCTCCCATAATATTTATCTTACCTCTAAACTTCGCATCCATATTATTAACAACATCTAAGCCCTTTTTGGTAATAGGGTGAGATAAATCTATTGATCGAATAAAGTTTCTTTTTGATTTGATAAAGTGAATAGATTTTTTTTTTCTTAAAGTGAATAGATTTTCTTTCATTAAAATTTTAGGAAACAAAAGAAAATAGAACATTTTCCCCAACTATCGTGACCATTAACATGATTATATTGAGTAACTTTGTTTTCTTTCAGCCTTAAAGTTAAATTAGAAGCTCGAGAATGAAATCCAATCAGGCCGCAAATAATGTACAAACGCAACCAAATGATTCCTGAGCCTAACGCTCCAAACCTAATAATTATATAGTATTTATGACCAATATTGCACAATTTTCTCAGCAATTTATTTTACAAAACAAAACTATAATATTAACATATAAATCAAACGGTATTTTTCTAAAAAAATTCGTGCGTAAATTTTTAGTAAATAATTATTTGAAGTGATAATCAGTATAATATTGTTGAAAATTTATTGGGGGTATTTCTCAAATTTGTGCCAAAGTTTACCTATATAATAATTTTAATGAAATATAAATTAATCGGTAGTTCACTAATGATGTATACTTATATATTGTGAACTTTGAATTATTTCTTATTAAAAAAGAACTTTTTATTGTTTATGTTTTCTAACATTCTTATCTTTACATCTACATCAATCTTCACTAATAAATCGATAAGGTGTTCAATATATATATCAAGATACTATTTAATCTTGTTTACAAGCCAATGGTAAAAGCTAGACCACTTTTTTGACTACTATCGTGGAACAAAACCTATGTTTTACTAGAAATGTGTGAAACCACACTCATTCGTTAGTTTTATATAACGATATATATTGTGGTGGTTAAAAAAAACATTACTCTGATATATATATATATATATATCTATATATTTTTGTTTTCTGTTCTGAAAACATTTCAATGAATAAAATAATTGAGGCGTTTACCATGGTTTTTGTCTTACTTTGGTTTTAGTTTAATAAGACAAGGTTTATCACCAAAGATAGAGTTAAATGAATTTTAAAATTTGGCTCTCCGCATTCTGATAAAAACAAATGTTGATTTTTACGCATCGAAGTCGCTGACCTAAGATGCTTCGCAGAGATTCTGTCCCGTTTCTTAATATTTCTTCGTTAACAAAAAAATAATTCGGCGAGAAATAGTGGTATTTATCCTAAGTTCTTAAATTAATCAGTATCTTCCCATAAAAACTCGGGCCTCCCCGACATTATTATTCTCATAATCACTTTACAAAGTCTAAAATAGTGTGAGTATGCATTAATTAATAGTATAAAGAGGAAGTGTTGTTTGAAGGAGAGATTGGTTGAAGTTTTGATGTGAATGTCTTTCAAGGCAACAAACATTCACGTTGGAGGCCATTTCTAAAGGAGTCTCGGTCCTAATTAGGGTTTCACGTCATTCTCACTCCCATAGTGTATTATCCTAACATTTACCCACTTTCTCTCTCTCCTCTCACTCTTATATTCTTTTCTTTGAATTCTTATTGTTATTAATTAATTGCCTAACCATTGTTTTGTTTCGTTTTTCCTTTGTGTCGAAAAAGTCAAATATAGGCCGCCATATCATTTTTTTTTCAAACCATGTAAGTACTATACATATATATTTTTTCGTTGTCTTGGGTGTGTATAGAAAGTGACAATTGTAAAAAAAAATGATATCATACCATATGGGTTTAAAATCATATATCTAAGCATCTATCAAAAAATTTTGTTAGGAATCAACTGATCACATTCTTTATATAGTGTTTTTTTTCTTTCTCACTTTTGACGTGAAAATTATATGCCATTATACTCTAATGATTACATATAACAAGATTATTGATGACTGGTATATGATTTTCCATTTATATCGTTAGGATGGAAAATTTATGCAAATTTGACATAACCATATTGTTTTTCTTTTTTGCTAACTCATAATCTTATTGTTTCCATGAGATGCGTACTTCTGGTTACTTACAAGAAATCAAGCTGTTTTATTTTAGATATGTGATTTCTCTCTGAAAATAATCTGTTTTGATACATTAACAATAATTTTCAACGAGAAAAATAACAGTAATGCATGAATATAGTGTTATCACTTATCAGTATAGTGCTTAACGTTAGATGGTTTTTCGTTATGTTATCGGATAAAACTTATTCATTAGAATCATCAGTATAGTGGTTAACATTAGATGGCTTTTCGTTAAATTTGTTTGGAACAACGACTATAACGAATACTCTATCACGGTTTGTAACCAGGTAGTATGGAGATAGTTACTTACATCATCCGTTTAAATAAAAGTTCATATTAGAGTTTTTTTTTTTCAAAAAATGGTCCTTATATAATATTATTATTTTTTTTTCAAATTCACTCCATACTTTACCCTTTATTTATAAGAAAAAGCTTTAAATTGCAATCATTATTATTTCATTATTTTAGATTAAATAGTAATATATCTATATGTTTGAGAACCTTCTTAATCCATGTAAAATGTGCTAAAATCGTTATTCTCCATAAAACAGAGAGAATAGTATAATCTAGCTCGAATGTTATCAGCTCTAAAGTCCCAAAATTGCACAACCTGATAAATATCTTTCCTTAACCACCCATCTCATTCACCTCGACTTTTGTAATTTATGAAAAGAGAGAACATTAAGACAACGAGTGAGTAGTTAATATTTGTGATGTTTTTATATAAGAAATTAATAATAACGAATTAAAAAGAAAAAGATAAGAGGTTAGTAAATAAATATATGACTGTCGTGTGTTATAAAGAAAGAAGAGAAGAGTCAAAGGACAACGTGGGCAAACTTCTCAAACTGCATCGGACGCCAACCTAGCACGCGCCTTTGTGGTGGTGCTACTGCTAACTATGCTCTATCCTAATTTACCATATTACCCTCGCCATTCGCAAGGGGAAAAAAAGCGTCATCGCAAACGTCTAAATTTTTGTTTAAGCCGCGTTAATTAACGTGTGTGTCCATGAGTCCATCTTATAGTCCGAATTGTGGATATATAAAATATATGTATACACCGTTATGATGCTGTATACACCGTTATGATGCAGTATGAAATTTCTCGACGGCCCATTAAATGAATACCAAACCCCAATATTTTCTAGATAATATCAATAATAATGAAGAAAATACAAAGGATGTTCAAACTCTCCATATATTGAAGAAAATGGTTTATGGATATGTAATAACTAATCGTATAAATACCTCTATAATTGAGCAATAAAAGCAGTTAATATTATGCATGGTTTTTATATCTAAGATGGTCTCAGATGACTTTTTCTCGGTAATTAATCAATTACTAAGCTATGTGAGTCTTTAATTTAGACACCAAATTGTGTTGGGTAAGATAATGAATAAATATATCACGGAACTAGATCAACTAAGGAATATATAAGACTAAAATAACAAATTGTTAAAGAAAACCTAGAGTATAAATTTAGGAGCAATACGCATCTATTTTAGATGAATTTCATGGCTACGTTACCTACGTACATGGATTCAATAGAACAATAAAGTCTTTAGGAAGGAAAAAAAAAACTAAAACAATATCACTTTTTCTGGAGAAGAAGAAAAAAGGACTAAGGATATGTG